CCGGCAGGGGCGAGACAGTCTCTGTCAAGCTACAGACCCCCCCCCCTCTCTATTCAACTTAGACTCCGTCCTCGGTGAGTGAACAGTGAGGTGACTTGGTCGTGTTTACATATGTTGTGTGATGATCAGGGGCAGTCAAGTTGTAGGGTTCTCGAATTCTTGGATGATGACTCTCTTTAACATTTGAATTGGATTGCTTATATTATGATACTTCATGTGAAATATAATTATGAATTTATTATTTAAATTGTGTTTAACTTTGTGCCCTAGAGCTTTGAGTTGAGGATTTGAGAAAGCCTCAGTGGTTACTGGGTTCATGATATAAATGAGTACATGTTTGGAGTTGATACATGGTACAGAGGGAACATACTAATAATGAACTCATGATAACGTCCTTTGAGAATATTTTGTGATACAGGCAAGTTCCATTCCTTGTCTTGTATGTAATGATCATGAATGGATGGTGGCAGCATTTCGTCTTCTACTATCTACTCTTCTACTTCTATCTACTCTTCTACTTCTACCTATCTACACCTCTCCCTCCACCCATCTCTAAACTCTCACTTTCAACTAATGACCCTCCTCGCTCCTCCCACCTCCCTACCTCTTACCCCAAACCCTCACTAATTACTTCACTCATTTCTTTCCTTTCGTTTCCTCTTATACGTTTGTGGCATGATACAGTATTCTAGAGTTCTCTCTAGAGTTTCGGGTAACTGATCAAGTTACGGCGCCTTGTAGTCTTAGCACCTAGGGTCAAATACCTAGGTTACAAGGTGTTGAACGAGAGAGGTTGCCTAGGAACTCTGGAGGTGCTCTAGAATAGTTAGCTAACTGAGGACGGGATAACGGACTAGAGAGAGCTGTTTCCCCCGGCCTCGTTAGTTAACTGGGGGGTGGATTTACATCATGTAATTGTTCCTGATATTTATTTCCTGCCACGGCTACCCGGGGGTGGGGGGGGGGGTGTCTGGCACACTATTCTAGAGTTCTCTCTAGAGTTTCGGGTAACTGATCAAGTTACGGCGCCTTGTAGTCTTAGCACCTAGGTAGTCAAATACCTAGGTTACTGTTACGGTCACTCTGGATGTCGCTGAGGTCTGGCGGACACTCTTAGTTAACTCTCTCTACGGTCATTGATGTCGCTGTCTGGTCTTGCACTCTTGCTCTCTCTACGGTCATTGATGTCGCTGTCTGGCCACTCTTGCTCTCTCTACGGTCATTGATGTCGCTGTCTGGCCACTCTTGTCCCCTCTACGGTCATTGATGTCGCTGTCTGGCCACTCTTGCTCTCTCTACGGTCATTGATGTCGCTGTCTGGCCACTCTTGCTCTCTCTACGGTCATTGATGTCGCTGTCTGGCCACTCTTGTCCTCTCTACGGTCATTGATGTCGCTGTCTGGCCACTCTTGTCCTCTCTACGGTCATTGATGTCGCTGTCTGGCCACTCTTGCTCTCTCTACGGTCATTGATGTCGCTGTCTGGCCACTCTTGTCCTCTCTACGGTCATTGATGTCGCTGTCTGGCCACTCTTGCCCTCTCTACGGTCATTGATGTCGCTGTCTGGCCACTCTTGGCTCTTGTCCCCTCTACGGTCATTGATGTCGCTGTCTGGCCACTCTTGCTCTCTCTACGGTCATTGATGTCGCTGTCTGGCCACTCTTGTCCCCTCTACGGTCATTGATGTCGCTGTCTGGCCACTCTTGTCCCCTCTACGGTCATTGATGTCGCTGTCTGGCCACTCTTGTCCCCTCTACGGTCATTGATGTCGCTGTCTGGCCACTCTTGCTCTCTCTACGGTCATTGATGTCGCTGTCTGGCCACTCTTGTCCCCTCTACGGTCATTGATGTCGCTGTCTGGCCACTCTTGTCCCCTCTACGGTCATTGATGTCGCTGTCTGGCCACTCTTGCTCTCTCTACGGTCATTGATGTCGCTGTCTGGCCACTCTTGTCCCCTCTACGGTCATTGATGTCGCTGTCTGGCCACTCTTGTCCCCTCTACGGTCATTGATGTCGCTGTCTGGCCACTCTTGTCCCCTCTACGGTCATTGATGTCGCTGTCTGGCCACTCTTGTCCCCTCTACGGTCATTGATGTCGCTGTCTGGCCACTCTTGCTCTCTCTACGGTCATTGATGTCGCTGTCTGGCCACTCTTGTCCCCTCTACGGTCATTGATGTCGCTGTCTGGCCACTCTTGCTCTCTCTACGGTCATTGATGTCGCTGTCTGGCCACTCTTGCTCTCTCTACGGTCATTGATGTCGCTGTCTGGCCACTCTTGCTCTCTCTACGGTCATTGATGTCGCTGTCTGGCCACTCTTGTCCTCTCTACGGTCATTGATGTCGCTGTCTGGCCACTCTTGTCCTCTCTACGGTCATTGATGTCGCTGTCTGGCCACTCTTGTCCTCTCTACGGTCATTGATGTCGCTGTCTGGCCACTCTTGCTCTCTCTACGGTCATTGATGTCTCTGTCTGGCCACTCTTGTCCTCTCTACGGTCATTGATGTCGCTGTCTGGCCACTCTTGCTCTCTCTACGGTCATTGATGTCGCTGTCTGGCCACTCTTGCTCTCTCTACGGTCATTGATGTCGCTGTCTGGCCACTCTTGCTCTCTCTACGGTCATTGATGTCGCTGTCTGGCCACTCTTGTCCCCTCTACGGTCATTGATGTCGCTGTCTGGCCACTCTTGCTCTCTCTACGGTCATTGATGTCGCTGTCTGGCCACTCTTGTCCTCTCTACGGTCATTGATGTCGCTGTCTGGCCACTCTTGCTCTCTCTACGGTCATTGATGTCGCTGTCTGGCCACTCTTGCTCTCTCTACGGTCATTGATGTCGCTGTCTACGGTCATTGATGTCGCTGTCTGGCCACTCTTGCTCTCTCTACGGTCATTGATGTCGCTGTCTGGCCACTCTTGTCCTCTCTACGGTCATTGATGTCGCTGTCTGGCCACTCTTGTCCTCTCTACTACGGTCATTGATGTCGCTGTCTGGCCACTCTTGTCCCCTCTACGGTCATTGATGTCGCTGTCTGGCCACTCTTGTCCCCTCTACGGTCATTGATGTCGCTGTCTGGCCACTCTTCGTGTTGATGACGTGTGAACGGGTACTGCCGCCAAGCCTTCAGACCTGATGACCCTAGAGAAGGGTCAGCCCTAGAGAACATGCAGGAAAAGTACGATAAAATATTATCACAAGTCTTCCAACAGGCACAGGAAGGCAATAAGACGTTCAACGGTGACAGAATTCAATTAGTTGGTGTTTAGTTGGTGTTGGTGTTATTTCGAGATGATTTCGGGGCTTTAGTGTCCCCGCGGCCCGGTCCTAGACCAGGCCTCCACCACCAGGAAGCAGCCCGTGACAGCTGACTAACTCCCAGGTACCTATTTTACATCTAGGTAACAGGGGCATAGGGTGAAAGAAACTCTGCCCATTGTTTCTCGCCGGCGCCCGGGATCGAACCCGAGACCACAGGATCACAAGTCCAGCGGCTGTCCGCTCGGTCGACCGGCTCCCTATGTGGGGGGGGGGGGACGTTAGAAGGAAAACAAGATACACAACAGTGAGTTCTCCACATGAAAGGATCAGCCAAGTTATTACAAGTCGAGCCTGACCCACCAGGCTGGGCTTGGGAAGTAGAAAAAGGCTCCTAGAACCCACTCCGGGTATATTCCAGGTATACCTTGAGATGGTTTCGGGGCTTAGCGTGCCGCGGCCTCGACCAGGTCTCCTCATGTGGAATGTCTTGCCAGTAATTTCACAAGACTTAATGTTTAGAGGTGACAATGTAGCAAATGTTGCAAGGGTCGGCGGGGGGGGGGGGGAAGATGATGGGGGTGGGTAACGAGAACGTGCGGAACAAGACAGGCCACACACCCCTCAATGTTTTCTTTAAAACACTAGTAGCCATCTTGTATGCAATATTGCTTTCCTCGTATCCGCCTTTCAAGGCGGGCGAGATTGCAGAGCAGGTAAGTCTGCAGAGATCCTTTACTGCACGCATAGAATCACAGAAGCTCTTAATGTAGTGGTTCCGTCTCTGAAAGAGCGTCTTGGAAGGAAGCCGAGAGATATATCTCATATACACATGAAAGATACTGGAAGGACCGGTTCCAAACCTGTACAGTAGAAACTGCAGTATACTGGAGTGAAAGATATAGTAGGAAGTGGATTTTTTTTCTCGAGTGAGTGCCGGACCAACCGGGCTGTGGTGGGTATGTGGGCCTGCGGGCCGCTCCAAGCAACAGCCTGGTGGACCAAACTCTCACAAGTCAGTAGAAGAACTCCCAGAACACCATCAAGCAGGTAAATCAAGGTAAAATCTTATATGGATATAGACGAGTTGTTGGGAAGTAAGAAGATGCGTTTCGTTATAGGTATAACAGAAGGAATTATGGGTCTAACAGAAGGTAGAGTGTATCGTGATGAGTGTAACAGATAGTAGGGTATTCTGTTATGGGTGTAACAGAGGGTAGACTATACCGTTGTGGATCCAACAGTAGTAAGTACTTAGTACCGACATTGTTCTCCAGCTGAAGCTTTTCTGTTTTATATTGGAAGTTATACTTGCGAGGAAGTGTGTGTAATATGCCAGCGAGCCACACACACACACACACACACACACACACACACACACACACACACACACACACACACACACACACACACACACTACTGCATGACACTCCAAGTTGTGTTATAGACGCCGTAAATAGTTCTTTTAGAAGCGTGCATATTCCCCGCGGGCATCCTGCTTGTATTTGTGAAATATGTGAATATATTGACATATCTGATTTTCAGTTGACATGATTGATATGAATTTATCACACACACACACACACACGCACGCACACACACACACACACACACGCACGCACTCACTCACACACACACACACACACACACACACACACACACACACACACACACACACACACACACACACACACACACACACACACAGGTGTGGCCTTGATTGACAGGTGTCTCTGATCTTTACAGCTGTACGAGCTAAGCGACGACGTGAAGCGGAAAGACTTCCTTGACGAGCTGTTCTCCTTTATGCAAAAGAGAGGTGAGTACCTCTGTTGTTGTTGTTGTTGTAGGGGAGTGATGAGTACCTCTGTTGTTGTTGTAGGGGAGTGATGAGTACCTCTGTTGTTGTTGTAGGGGAGTGATGAGTACCTCTGTTGTTGTTGTAGGGGAGTGATGAGTACCTCTGTTGATGTTGTTGTTGTTGTAGAGGAGAGTGGTGAGTACCTCTGTTGTTGTTGTTGTTGTTGTAGAGGAGAGTGGTGAGTACCTCTGTTGTTGTTGTTGTTGTTGTAGAGGAGAGTGGTGAGTACCTCTGTTGTTGTTGTTGTTGTTGTAGAGGAGAGTGGTGAGTACCTCTGTTGTTGTTGTTGTTGTTGTAGAGGAGAGTGGTGAGTACCTCTGTTGTTGTTGTTGTTGTTGTAGAGGAGAGTGGTGAGTACCTCTGTTGTTGTTGTTGTTGTTGTAGAGGAGAGTGGTGAGTACCTCTGTTGTTGTTGTTGTTGTTGTAGAGGAGAGTGGTGAGTACCTCTGTTGTTGTTGTTGTAGAGTAGAGTAGCGAGTGTTGTTGTATTTTTACAAATTACTTTTCACAAGTAGAACATGAAACGTTATAAATCAAATGGCTATGTTGACATAGAGCGGGAGACCTGGGTAAATTGAACACAATGTGTTGTGTCTGTGTTATGTTTTCACATTTCTGATTATTTTTGAGGAGGCTTTATGCTATGTTATGCTTTGGACGTTTTATATAATTTCGTAACTTGATTTTTATTTACAAATTTTGGTGTCAGGTGTAGTGATTGTTTATGATGGGTGTGGTGATTGTACATGCCAGGCTTGGGGATTGTTCACGACAAATAGTGCCTATTTAAAATCAATTATGGTGCCTATTTTGATTTATTTGTCCTCAGTAAGCAGGTGTATTACTTATTGAGGACAAAAGCTGGGCTGGATTGTGAGCAGTACAGTAGCATTGGAACGGAATTAACAACCCAATTGTCCCGAATTGAGCTGTTGTGTGATACAGCAGCTTCAGTTTCCATCTGGGTTAATGTCTAACCACCTAGACCTATCCATCACCGTTTAAAAAGTTACATTGGTTCAGTAATAACCACACCCCCTGTTCACTTAACAGAATATAGATACCTGGGAGTTAGACAGCTGCTACGGGCTGGTCTACAAAAAGGAGGCCTGGTCGAGGACCGGGCCGCGGGGACGCTAAGCCTCGAAAATGGGTCGACATGTTAGCACTGTACTGTCCCCCTCTTCTGCTACTGAACAGTACGTCAACAGGTGTAGTGCTTCTCAACAACAGCTGTGGCGGGGATTTTTGGAGCAGGTGCGTGAAGGAGAGGAGTGGGGGGGGGGGTGTAGATGGGGTTAGGGGGCAGGGGAGCGTGTAGAGGATGGGGGAAGGGGGATTGGAAAGGGGGGCTTAGTGTATCCCCCCAGAGGCCGTACAAGAGACTCATGTAACCTTGTTACGTATAAGAACGTTAATACTGGGGACGGGGGGGACCCTGGTGAGACAGTGGCTGACTTTCCTTACAGTATCTCCCTGGCCCTGCCCTCCCTGGCCCTGCCCTCCCTGGCCCTGCCTTCCCTGGCCCTGCCCTCCCTGGCCCTGCCCTCCCTGGCCCTGCCCTCCTTGGCCCTGCCTTCCCTGGCCCTGCCCTCCCTGGCCCTGCCCTTCCTGGCCCTGCCCTTCCTTGCCCTCCCTGGGCCTGCCTTCCCTGGCCCTGCCTTCCCTGGCCCTGCCCTCCCTGGCCCTGCCCTCCCTGGCCCTGCCTTCCCTGGCCCTGCCCTCCCTGGCCCTGCCCTCCCTCCACCATCCTACAGGGCAGTGCCAGATCAGCTGGATGGGGTCATCAGTAGCGGAAGGGAAAGGAGTCCATGCAGGGGGAAGGTGATGAAAGGGAAGGGGGACCAAACATGGGAAGGGGGAACACGCAGGGGAAGGGTGGGAAGGGGAAGGGGGAACAAGCGAGGGAGGGGGAGGAAGGAAAGAGGTGTCGGGTGTCACGATATGAAATTCCGGCGGAGGTGGGAGTCGTGACTGTTACAAATGACTGGCTGGAGGGGTGAGGGGCTGGAGGGGTGAGGGGCTGGAGGGGTGAGGGGCTGGAGGGGTGAGGGGCTGGAGGGGGGGGTGAGGGGGCTGGAGGGGTGAGGGGGCTGGAGGGGTGAGGGGGCTGGAGGAGTGAGGGGCTGGAGGGGTGAGGGGGCTGGAGGGGTGAGGGGGGGCTGGGGTGGGGGGGATGGAGGGGTGAGGGGGGCTGGAGGGGTGAGGGGGCTGGAGGGGTGAGGGGCTGGAGGGGTGAGGGGGGGCTGGAAGGGTGAGGGGGCTGGAGGGGTGAGGGGCTGGGGGACAAATAAACGCCCCACTCCCCACTTCCCAAATAACCCCCCCCCTCCCAACTTGGCTCAAATAACCCCCTCCCCGCTTCCCAAACCTTATCACTTTGGCACTAGACTGTAATGGGAAATCTGCCGAAAGCCCCCCCCCCCCGTTAAAAACCCAATGTTCTTGGAATGCCACAAATTTTTTCCCCTATATTTGAAAAACCGGCAAACTATAAACTAACTCTTGCAAAAACAAACTGCTTATACCAAAACTGGGTTCAAAGGGGAAGCCCGTGCACGGCCTAAAACCACGTTACACCAAAATTTTCCTTTCCGCACCTTCCAGCTTTTACCCTTTTTCGGAGAAAAGGTAGTTTAGGAACTGCTTACCGGACTTCTTGGATGCAAGGAAGATAACTTGGGAGGTTGGGAAGTAATTTCAAGGGGTTTGGTGGTGTTTGCAAGAGGTTAAACTTTGGGTATGGTTACTTGGGGTTTAAGGGGTTGGGGTTAATTATTCCCAGCCCTAATCCACCACTAACCCTTTCCCCGAAACCAACCAAGAAACCCCACCATTTGCTATCATTACTTACCATTATTTAAATATTGGTTAAAATTAAACCTTTCCGTATAATAAAACCCTAAAGGGTATTTCACCTGAGTTAGTGGTTGTTGTTTCTATCAGCTTTAAGGTGCCCTTTCTTTTAGTATTCCAGGGTTTATCCTACCAATTTACCAGGGCCCTGGCGCCCCGGTCCGTCCTTAAAAGGGGTGGGCAACCCTTAAATTCTGGGGGCCGGAATGGGTGAAAAAAATCTGGAGAAAAAAGGATAAAGAGAAGGAGCAAAAGGGCCCTAGGCAAACCGCACCGGGCCCGCCAACCTTCCCGGCTAATTTGCCGGCGGGCTCTTCGGGCGGGCTTTCTACCTTTGTGGGCCCTCTAGATGCTATGGAGACTTACTTGGAGAGGGTCTGAATAGTTCTACTCCCCGAGCCCTGGCTGGGGTGCAATCTGTTCTCGCACAAGACAGCACATAAATGACTTATAGCTTATAGTCACTATTTTGCGTATAAATAAGTACATATGTGACATATTCCAAGCCATATTTTTTTCAAGGCACTAACTTTTTCCTCTCGGTTTTACTAAACAATAGAGATTTTACACAAAATTTGACATATCCTGAGTTACTTTTACAATTTATTTAAATATTTTAGTTTTGTTTTTATTATTTTATAAAACTGTAATATCAGTATAGGTATAGGTTCAGTACTAATTGGTAATATTTAACATACTAAGAAGGTTAGGTTAAGTTGTTGTTTTTCTATTCAGCTTTTTCAGGTAGACTCAAATATTCACAAAATTAGTATGTCACATATGCTCTTATTCATAAGCAAGATATTTGACTATAAGCAAATGCGAGAACGGGTTGCTGGGTCAATATAACATTTTGATGGTGTCGCACACCCTGATGGCTTGGTGCTGTAGTCTGATGTTTAGTGTTGTGTGGTTCAGATCATGGAGGGAAGGGAGGGAATTGTGAAGAGAAAGCGCCGCCCCCTCTACCTGCTGCCCCCCGCCCCCTCTACCTGCTGCCCCCCGCCCCCTCTACCTGCTGCCCCCGCCCCTTCTACTGCTGCCCCCGCCCCCTCTAACTGCTAACCCACCCGCCCCCTTCTACCTGCTGCCCCCCGCCCCCTCTACCTGCGTTGCCCCCCCCCGCCCATCTAACTGCTGCCCCCCGCCCCCTCTACCTGCTGCCCCCGCCCCCTCTACCTGCTGCCCCCGCCCCCCTCTACCTGCTGCCCCCCCGCGCCCCCTCTACCTGCTGCCCCCGCCCCTCTCTACCTGCTGCCCTCCGCCCCCTCTACTGCTGCTGCCCCCCGCCCCCTCTACCTGCTGCCCCCCCCGCCCCCTCTACCTGCTGCCCCCCCCGCCCCCTCTACCTGCTGCCCCCGCCCCTCTACCTGCTGCCCCCCGCCCCCTACCTACTGCTGCCCCCCCGCCCCCTCTACCTGCTGCCCCCCCCGCCCCTCTACCTGCTGCCCCCCCGCCCCCTCTACCTGCTGCCCCCACGCCCCTCTACCAGCTGCCCCCCCCCCCCCCCGCCCCTCTACCTGCTGCCCCCCCCGCCCCCTCTACCTGCTGCCCCCCCCGCCCCCTCTACCTGCTGCCCCCCGCCCCCTCTACCTGCTGCCCCCCGCCCCCTCTACCTGCTGCCCCCCCCCCCCGCCCCCTCTACCTGCTGCCCCCCCGCCCCCTCTACCTGCTGCCCCCCGCCCCTCTACCTGCTGCCCCCCCGCCCCCTCTACCTGCTGCCCCACGCCCCCTCTACCTGCTGCCCCCCGCCCCCTCTACCTGCTGCCCCCCCCCGCCCCCTCTACCTGCTGCCCCCCGCCCCCTCTACCTGCTGCCCCCGCCCCCTCTACCTGCTGCCTCCCCCCCCCGCCCCCTCTACCTGCTGCCCCCCCCGCCCCCTCTACCTGCTGCCCCACCCCGCCCCCTCTACCTGCTGCCCCCCGCCCCCTCTACCTGCTGCCCCCCCCCCGCCCCCTCTACCTGCTGCCCCCCCCCGCCCCCTCTACCTGCTGCCCCCCCCGCCCCTCTACCTGCTGCCCCCCGCCCCCTCTACCTGCTGCCCCCCGCCCCCTCTACCTGCTGGCCCCCGCCCCCTCTACCTGCTGCCCCCCCCCCGCCCC